TTTTTTAAAAAAAAAAACCCCTATTTTTTTTGGTCAGACGATTTTTTTTTTTTTTTTTTTTTTTTTTTTTTGTTTTTGTTTTTTTCTTTTTTGATCGATTCGATAATTTGTCCAAATTTGTAACAAAGAGAAGAAAGAATTTCTTCAGAGAGAATTTTTACGCATGTGCTTACTTCCTTTCTTCGTTTGTCTCTTCTACTGTTCCTGGCAAAATATATTTTTCATTATGTTTTGGTATTGCTGTCACAATTAGAGAAAGAAGACAAATATCGTCAAAAGATAAAAGTATATCTTTTGATTATTACTCATTTGGAAAAATTAGAGATTAGAACTAGAGATTAATTACAAAGATTAATTTATCTCCTTTTCATCTTAAACATCTGCTATTACATAGATTTTTCGTTTTCTTCAATCCGACTACCAAAATTTGTATACAAGCAAATTCACTGAATCAAACCTTGGACATTCTCTCTGCTTCTCGTGCTTTCAAGAATGGCATACCTTTTCTATCTCTAAACCAATTCAATCGTTAGGACAATTTAGCATAGTAATTTAGTATACTTTTTCTATTTCTGAACTAGTTCAATTTGATCATTTCGATAATTTAGTATTAATGTCTTGCTCTTTCTTTATATTTAATTCAGCTTATTGATTTTGCACATCTGCTAACTTTAATTTTGGTTCATTTTTGGTTTTGCTTTTTGCAATGCAATTGTGTTCTGTTCTGTTCTGTACATTATACATTTTTGTATCAAAGGGTTTTTATCCCGTATGAATAATTAAAGTTAAAATTAAATGAAATTTAAAATTCTTCCTCTGTTAACATGTTTTAACTATCGCGCAAAATTTACATGTTCGGTCTATCAAAATTTACAGCTTCGGTACGGAATATTTCATTCTTCATTTGACTGATACTATTTAATTATTCGCAATTGTTTAAAATCTCTTGTCAATAATGATGTCACTTTAAAACATTTGTGAGAATAAAAACAGCGATGATCAATAATCACCGTATCGCAACAATTTCTCGATTTTACAATGATAATTCAATCCTGAATTACAATAAACTCGATTTTGACCATTTCTGCCAATTGCAACTTATAACAATTGGAAATTATATTAATACGAACATGTTACAATTTTTCTATATATCGGTCTAGAAATACAAAGCATTATCCAGAAATCTCGGTGTAAAAATCTCGGTGAAAGAGACATGCTAGTTTTTACTAGAAGCATTTTGCAGAAACAAGGCGCCAGTAAGAAAGGTATTCAATTGTTCAAAAATGTTCAAAGCAGGGAATGAAAAAAGTTAAGGAAAACTTTTAAATTGGTTCTATTTGAAACATGGAACTTTTTCGAAAAATGTTCTCTTACGAGTTATGAGTCCCGATGTGAGAACGGGGTAAATATATGTTTTCAAAAATAAACTTTCGAACAGAATAGAACTTGCGAAATGTAAAAATAAAAATTTTTCTAGAAGGAACAGACAATTTGTTCGTCAGTATTAAAAAGTACTCATCTCGATATTTGTAGCAAATACTGACACTGAATGCTATTCAATAAATATAGAGATGGATTTTTAATTAAATAATTTGTTTCCATAATTTTTATTATACAGATTTTGATGCGAGAAGCACTATTCAAAAGTGTAGCACTTCTCTCTATAAAAATTCCACGAAAACACATATTTCTTTTCATACATGAGAATTCTTTTAAAATCAAAGAGAACCTAGTTTAACAAAATAAGACAAAAATCGCGACTCTTGGCACCTCGACTAAAAGAAATCTAACGTCAAATCAACGACAAAGAAAATCACGACTCACGGTCACATCATTTGGAGCGTGATCGAGGGAATCTACAGTGGTGTTGTCCAGTTTTCGGTTGTTTTTGCGCGCAGCTTGACCGTGGTGTGTCGCGAAGCGCGCGACAAAGGTGCGCGCGCGCAGCACAGCGTTTGAAATTCGTGGCGCGGATCCTCCTAGGGGGCTGCGTTCCTTCCTCTCCCGGCTTTCGTTCCACGTCCGTTCGTTCGTTCGTTGGGTTCGTTCGTTCGCTCGCTCGGTCTCGCCCGCTTCCGCGCCGCTCGCGCACAAGTCGATGTAAGGTCGGCGTGTCGTGCCACGAAGGGAGTGTCGCCGGCCATTTCGACGCCCTCTCGAAACGCTCGGACTCGCGACGATCCCGACCGACTCTTCACCGGGCCCACCATGCTTCGTTCCATGTTCCTCTTGCCGGTTGTCGTCCAGCGTCGGCTGCATCCGCGAGATCGCGACGCTGTTCCCTGATCGGGTGTTCCCGAGGAAGTCGCTCGCACATCAAACGTCGTTTCCTTTTCTATCGATGCGACGAAAGTGTTGTAAACCTTCGTTTCCCTTCTCCGTCCGGGCGATCTGTCGGCTTTGAACGGTCAGTTGTCGCGATATCGATCACGCGAGCCGCGGAGAACAGTCGTATGCAGAGAAGAAAGGACCACCGCGAGTGAGAAGACCTCGAACTGGAGGAGCACGTTCCGAAGAACAATCGAAGAACATCCAAGATGATGGGACGTGCCAGAGGACGGTAGTTCCTCGTTGGTAGGGATGTCCTCGTGACATGTTACCCCGTGACCTTGGCTGTCGCGACTACAACGTTGTCCTCCGCGGAGAGGCTCGCCTGCTGGCGCACGGATCGAGCGAGGATAACGGTCGATCGTCGTCCACGTCGTTTCATCCACGTGGAGTCGAGTACCGCCTACTGCCAGTGCTCCAGGTGAAGCCTGATTACGCTGTCCCGTATGTTCTCTGCTGGAGGGTACCCAGCACGACGATCCACAGGATCCAAATCCCGTTACAGCACCATCATCATCATCATCGTCGTCGTCGTCGTCGTCGTCGTCGTCATCATCATCATCATCATCGTCATCATCGACAGCATCATCGCTATCAACGCCGCCATCGACAGCGTTGTCGGCGACACTTTCAGGCAACGACTACGCCTCGAAGGCATCCTGTCCCGCTCCTCCAGGCGTCCGCCTATCCTTTCTCGTACGGCTGTAGTAGCTCGGAGAGCGGCGATCCTGCTGCAGCGCCTGGTATGGAAACAAGGTGAGCCTTGATCATCAGTTTCTGGCCGATCAGTATATATAACCGTTTCTCTCGGCCAGCTTTGATTACCCACCAACGGGATCATCGCGTACGAGTGTCTCTACGCGTTCCGTGCTTTTGAGCAGAGCGCGGCATCTCTGCCCTTTGCTATTTGATTTCCGTGATTGCTGTTTCTCACACGCCTCTGGCGTGTGTGTCCGCGCGGCGAGTTGGATTAGATTTCCGACCTCGCTGTGTTTGACTTGATATTACCAGCTGGTTTTCGAAGATAAGTTTTATAGGGCAGTGATAGTTTCGCGGGGGAGGGGGGGGGGTGGTTTCTCTCTTTCTCTCTCTCTCTGTCTCTGTTTCTCCGTAGGTTATCGGACGAAGGGATTCGAAACTCGTCACGCGAGATTTTCACCGATCGTTTTCACGGGTCGACGGACTACAAGGCGAGGCTGCGACGAACTTTTTTTCGAACGTCTCGTCTATTTTTCGTTAGTTTTGTCGAAAGAGAGAGAGAGAACGAGAGATCGATACCCGCGCGCCGTCCGACAGAGAGGAGCAAAACCGACGAAGGTCGTTTCTGATTGGCTAGGCAGCTGGGTGAAGGCGAGACGCAGTTTCGAGCCGGCGTGCTCTTTCCTTTTTATCCGTCAGTCCCGATCCCCCACCTCTCCCCCGTCCTTGTTATTAGCTTGCCTCTTCCTTTTTCTTTTTTTCTTTCTTTTTTTTTTTTTTCCTCTTCTTCCTCGTTTCTTTCCCTCCGCGATTCTTTTCCGCCACTCGTTCGCCTCTCGAGTTTTTCCCTTTTCCAATTAAACGCGCCGTCCATCTTCGATTATTATTATCATCCCCTGATAGAAGGCGTCCGCGGCAGAGAGACGCGCGAACGTGAACTTCAAAGCGAGCGTGAATTCGATTATAGAAATTTACCTTTGCCCCCTGCGCGCGGGATTTCAACCCCTTGGCGAGACGCGACGCCAGATTGTCGCCCCTTGCCCCCACGGGTCACACCCTTGTCCGCCTCTTTGACAGCCACGCAGAAACATTTCGTCGTCACCTCGAAACTCGATGCCAAACAGGTGTTGGCACAATGACTTTGGGGAGAAGCTGCTGGTTAGCACACAGTTGGACTCGATTCGGTAGATTGTTCCACGTTAGATCTTTCCGAGTCATTCTCTCGTATGTTTTACGCAGCCTCGCGTTCGTTCGTTCTTCGAGGAAAAAAAAGTGAATGGGAGTTTCGAATAAAGGTTTGTGGTACAGTGGATGGCACGCCTAGTTTTTTTTTTTTTTTTTTTTTTTTTCTTTTTTTTGAGATATCTCTGTAAAAGCAAGTATTAATTAGCAGAATTCATAAATGCAAAAATAATGTGCAGAGTAGCAATTAATAATGAGTCATACGATAATAGTACAAGAAATATGAGAATTCATGGTACGAGCGGATTAAAAAGGTATTGGCACATTTAGTTCTTCGGCGATATCTTGGAGAGCAAATAATGTATTGGCAAAATCCAATGTTTTCATAAATAAAAAAGTAATATGCACAGTAGCAAGTAATAATGAGTTCTACGATAATAGTAGTTGAAATATAAAAGTATAGATTTTACAATATTAGTACAAGTATGCACCTGATTTTTTGCCAATATCTCTATGAATGATACATTAGCATAATCCAAAGTAAAAGAAGTAACGTATTGATAATAAATTATACGATGATAATGCAAGAAATATAAAAATTCCAGAGTCAAAATATATCAGCGCACTTGTAATTCCAATGCTCAATACATATTCAGCGACGGAACAATATCTTTTAAAAAAATATCCTTTCGTAAATATTGAAATGGTTACGAATGACATTGCGCCAATATTGGAGAAGAACTCTTTAAACCATTAAAAAATATTTTAATACTTTCATTTTATTGAATATTTCATTCTGTTCAAATACGTTATAAAGCCAGAAAAAAAAACCCCTCGTGTGTCGATACCTTTTTCGATTCTTGAATTTTTACATTATTTGTGTTGTTATTATATAACTAATTATTAGAAACTGCTACTGTGCACATTATTTTTGCATCTAGTCGTTTTATTGAATTATAATTTTTCACAAAACTATTGCGAGAAAACTAAATATGCCATATATTTTTTTGATCAAATATACATTTCGATCAAAGTTGGATTAGCAAAGTAAATAAAATAATTTCTGTCGATCGTTTCAGTACATATAAATTTTATGCACTAAATGCTAAAACTAGGTAAAAAAATAACTCCCTAAAATGTCTCCCAACAAAAGCTCGATAAATATTTTATTAAAAAATTGATAATAAAAGTATGAAAACTGATGCTGCGTTTATTTATGCGAGCACTTTCAAACGTCATTTTATTGATGAAATTTCAATTGCACCGCTGAATTTATTGCAGGCTGAATTTCATCGTGAATTGTACTGAATATTTCTGTATTGTAAACTTTCGCTTTCAGAGTCCATTTTGGGTAAAAATCTTTCAAGTAACGTGACAATAGAATCATGTACAAAGATAATAAATTTTATATCAATAGATAATGTTAGAAATACATTACATATGCTAGATTAAACTAAGAGACACAACAATGTACTTGTCACATTTCACACGTTTGTTATAATTTCTTAATGAAACATTTATGGATTACGTGACGTTTTAGTCTTGCTTTTACGTACTTGTAAAACATACACGCGAAATTTGAAAATTAAACCACTTGTATATTCACTAAGTGATGTTGAATATTGAGCACAAGACGTATATTAGATATTCAAAATTTATGGAAGTAGCGATGGTAGCGAGTCTTGCGCGATTTACGTTTATCGAAATTGCATCGACGGAATAAATCTATCATTACACTGCGGAATTTAACGCATTTACAAAAAATTGTCGAATGCTAACTACACGGAAAAATATATAGAATAGCTAAAAAAAAAAATTGTGTATTGCTTTCTATAACATTTTCTACCGAGATTCTGTTCTTTTTTTTTTTTTTTTTTTTTTTTTTTTTTAATTACGTTCCCAGAAATATGAATTTCCATAAAAATCCGCAGTTTAATCATATAACTTACAGTACAATGTAACACGAAAACCGCTTTTCCCTAAAATGTGCCAAATGCGCTCTACATATTCGAGGTTTCCATTCAAATGTTCTTTTATCTTTTGCGTTTCATATTTTCTCCGTTCTGGAAAAAAAAAATTCACACCAGCGGATTTCATATCCCCCAAAATATAGCCAATTTATTTCTTCACTTGCAGTAGAATTAATAGCAGTCAAATTCTGGTTGAAATAGGATAAGTATATTTTAACGTGATTTTTGTTAAAAATATATATATATTTATTTTTAAAAATATTTAATTTTTTTAATTATAATTTATTTTTAAAAATATTTATATATATATTTTTTCGTAATCATTTTTCTGTCAGAGGCAAATGGACCACAGAAATAAATATAATTATTGTAATATTAATATGACAATATGTAATATTAATATTAGTATGACGATCGTAAATATAAATCGTAACAAATATTTTAAATTTTATCGCGTAGAAACATTTGCTTAAACTCGGTTATCTTCCAGGAATATTTATTTCTTGTAAGTGTAATTTTTATCCTTTCGTACTCCATTAGCATAGCATCGTACGCATTCTTTTTCTACTATTACTATTTTTATATCCTTTCTGTAACACAATCTGTACGTGTTATTAAAAGACTTGAAAGAATTCTTGTTCTAAAATTGATTTCAGTAGTAGAATGACTTTTCCGATTACAATCCAATAATACCACATCTTCATTCCGATTACAATCCACGAAAACACACTTTTGTGTCTTTAACTACATACTGACAAGAAATATTAAATAATATAAACCGTGACGACATTGGCCTCGGTGATACGACACGAGACAAATTTTGGAGATAGCAATGACAACTTTCCACAGTTTCAGTTTCACACGGGTTTTGCTTTCACATTTATCAAACGAACGACCAATCGCTCGTTGAGAGATGAAGAAATATGAAGAGACTGCGTTCTGTTAATGAAAGAGGAGGGCCTGGCATGAAAATTCGATGCTCTCACGCGGCGTGCCGTCACTGCTCTTCTAAACCAAAAAACTAAACGCCTGCTGCGCCCACCGGCCTCTACGTTCCTCGACCTCCCGCTGCTCCGGACACTGAACTCCAGGCCGCGGCCAACAGTTTCTTTCCAACCGGACTTGAAAAGTAGAGTGATCCTTCCCCGACTGTCCTTTGCGCCGCCAGCTGAACGGAATATCAATCGAGCCGTTTGCCCCGGCGCTGTTGCGCGAAATATTCATGCTGAACGCGCAGGTGATTCCCGAAATCGGCTCGCGAGTATTGACGATCAGTCACGCGTTGCTCGGTTCTTAACCAAGAAGCTAATCTTGAACGAAGTGAACTGTGCAGCGTGTGACCGATGGCACAACTGATGAATAGGCAGTGATTTCTGCTAAGAGTTTTTGGCAAAGTCGTGTTCGAAAATTTGTCGTATATAACATGCACGTAGGGTGATTCTTAACCACTTGCGCTGGCAACTGATTGCGGACCATAACGAGCGACCAAATCGTATACAATAATTCGTCGCTTTCTTTTTTCAACTCGTCGGTATAATATCACTGGATAGAAATTATTGAGATGTAATAGATTTATTATTTTGCCCATTTTTCTTTAAGATTTATACTTTCGCCTATTTTGTTTTACTTAACAAACAAACAAATCTACCTGGCATTCTATCGTATTAAATCTACATCAATTAATATCGTTTTAATTATATTGAAAATCCATTAATTTGGTAAATAGTTTGACTTGGAAGACAAGGACAACGTAAAAATTTATAGGTGTGTGTACAATAAAAGGAGCTTCGCTGATTCTCTAAACAAATCCGAGTAAAAAGAAACAAATGACATTTTCTTAACTTTTAAAATTTTGTGCACTCGTTATTGAACTCTTATAAAGATCCAGATGAAACAAACAAGATA